TCAACTCCCAGAATTCCCCAGCCAGCAAGCTGGCTGGGGAATTCTGGGAGTTGAAGTCCACCTACCTGAAAACTGCCAAAGTTGAGAAATGCTGTGCCAAACCATCAACCAGGTTTTCCCAGCCACAAGGGCTGCAAAGCCAATATTAAAGAAATCATTGGCTGTAATGCTTATGGCGTGAATCCAACCGTGTGGCTAGGAACTGGGCCATTCGCGGGCAGATGAATCCATAGATGAGTGCAGGATCTCTGCCACCTATCATCGCTGTGGTCATCACATGCTTTCTGATCGGAGAAAGAACCGGCAGATTAGATCCTTAATCTTTCTCACACCTGGACCATGGGCAATTTCCCTGCTAACAATAAAGGCCACAATACTGGTTAGTTTTGAAAGACGTTGGCCAGGATCCCACAGGCGCAACCGAGCTCTAGTTTTGCCCCAGGCAGGTCCACGTTGTCTTATGCAAGCCAGGATCTTGATCTCAGAGGCTTCCTTGCAAGCCAATATACTGTTGGCTCTCTCCTACCAACAAAGAGGCAAAGGCCACCTGCTGACATTCAGCCTTTAGCATCCCCCAAATACAAGAGCCATTTCACTTCTCCACATGCTGCTCTTCTCCAGCCAAAATGGCACGCGGGGCGAAACATTCTTCCTCGCAGCGGGAAGCCACGCACCCATGGGCTCTGAGCTGCCGACTCACAAGATGCAACTGTTCCCCTCCCACTTGGGAAGGGCGGAACGGCCAACCATTAGGAGACCGTCATATTGCTACTCCGCTCCTTCTTGTTTAAAAGATCACCAGAGGCGATATGCTGAACAGGATCTGCCCTGGTGAAGTGGCTTCTCCAATTAAAAACGCGAGAGGGAACAAAACGTTCAAGCAGCTTGGCCTTTAAAGGGCACCAACCAGCACATCGACTGTGAGATGCCTGCGAGAGTTATGTGGGAGAACGAGAACATTTCAGAGGAGGCATTCATAGTGGCTCAAGATCCCTTCAATTCCCATGGGAACAGCAAGAAGATGTTGGAAGTCCAGAGGCACCAGAACATCACGCATTTGTAACCACCAGCTTTATTACTAGAAACGTTGAACAACGGGGCCTACAGTAAGCACTAAGAAATCCAGATGTACCTTCATCTCCAATACTTTCCCAACTGTTTTGTTGACCCAAAGGTCAAAGAAGGATTCCAAAATGGGAGGAATGTCAGAGTTGTCACTAATCTACTGTTTTCAGTTAAGCATGGATGGATGGATGGATGGATGGATGGATGGATGGATGGAAGGAAGGAAGGAAGGAAGGAAGGAATTCTTGCAGGAATTCTAGATTGAGCGTCAAGGCACCCATATAAATGCACAGTTTGATGGCAGATTAAATGTGGCTACAACGGAATCAAGTAGAAATAATTTCTTTCCATATACGAGACAGAGCAAAAAGGCACATGACCCCAAATCACACTTTCAAATAATCCCTGCAAGTCAACATATGCACACACAGGGTTCCCTGCATCAAGAAAGTTAGCACAAGAAAAGCAGGATTGGGCTAATGTTTTCCTAAGGAATTCAAAAGCAAAACTGTTCAATAACTGGCTGAAGATCATACTCTTGTTTTGGGGTAGTGAAAAATAGGCAACATGTTGTCTAAAAAAAAGTGTGTGGGGGGGGAGATTATGTTGGCTATTTTCCTCCTTTATTGTCTTTTTAAAAAAAAGAGAAAAAAAAGACCCAGAAAATTACAGCCCCAATTAGTCTAACACGCTCCAGATAAAGTGGTGTGAGAGTTATTGATGATTATGGAAATGTATTCATTATTCTTTGAGCTGCCCCAACTAGTAGAATTTTCTAGGTAATGTAGGACTATGTGGAAATCATCCAATATCTAGCAATAAGCAGTGAGGGAAACAGGAGGTAAAAGTGATAAATGAAGAAATGAAACTGCAGCACCTAAAAAGCTTACAATGAATAAAACCGGCAGTCAAATTAAAAAGGGCGGTTTTTACCTCTGCAAATGGCTTGGTGCTTGGCTTCCCAAAACTTTTGTGGATAAAAGAAAAAGGAGAAGAGAAGAAGAAAGACGAGGAGAAGGAGGAGAAGGGGGAGAAGGGGGAGAAGGAGGAGAAGAAGAAGACAAAGAGAAGGAGGAGAAGGAGAAGAAGAAAGACAAAGAGAAGGAGGAGGAGGCGAAGAAGAGAAAGAGAAGGAGGAGGAGGAGAAGGCGGAAGGAAAAGAGAAGGAGGAGGAGGAGAAGGCGGAAGGAAAAGAGAAGGAGGAGGAGGAGAAGGCGGAAGGAAAAGAGAAGGAGGAGGAGGAGAAGGCGGAAGGAAAAGAGAAGGAGGAGGAGGAGAAGGCGGAAGGAAAAGAGAAGGAGGAGGAGGAGAAGACAAAGAGAAGGAGGAGGAGGAGGAGAAGAAGACAAAGAGAAGGAGGAGAAGGAGAAGAAGAAAGACAAAGAGAAGGAGGAGGAGGAGAAGAAGACAAAGAGAAGGAGGAGGAGGAGAAGACAAAGAGAAGGAGGAGGAGAAGAAGACAAAGAGAAGGAGGAGAAGGAGAAGAAGAAAGACAAAGAGAAGGAGGAGGAGGAGAAGAAGACAAAGAGAAGGAGGAGAAGGAGAAGAAGAAAGACAAAGAGAAGGAGGAGGAGGAGGAGAAGACAAAGAGGAGGAGAAGGAGAAGAAGAAGACAAAGAGAAGGAGGCAGACAAGGAGAAGGAGGAGAAGGAGAAGAAGAAGACAAAGAGAAGGAGGCAGACAAGGAGAAGGAGGAGAAGGAGAAGAAGAAAGACAAAGAGCCATTTCTTTTTAGAATACAAATGCAAATGTAAGCAGCTGTTCCTTTTAATGCATTCTTTTGTTCTTCTATGATGCTGTCAATAAAGGAATAATTTCTGAAATAGCAGAGCCATCGCTAAAATAAGTTCTACGGGCAAGTGGAAATCTGTCCCCCGACTTTTTAAAAAAAAATTCTTTTTCAATCCATCAGACCTAAGAGGTAAATAGGGCTAAACAAGATTTCCTGATTAAATGTCAAGATTTGAATTTAAACATTTAAATAAGGGGGCAGGAAACCATGCTAAAATTGTCCTGGGATATTGCAATGTACAATTACCTGGTCATGATCATAACCAGAGAATGAGGGTGGAAGAGGTGAACTCACCGGATGTATATTGACAAAAAGATCGTGTTCTGCTTCATTTGGATACAGACCCTCTACCGTGTCCAGTAACGCTGGATCAGCATTTAGGAAGTGAGGTTGAGAAATAAATATTGGTGCATCTTGAAAAAAAAAATACAGACGATTATAATCAAAACAAAACCAGCTCTTTTCCCCCCCTCCTTTCAAAACACGTGCAGGATTCATCCTGCTGACTACGCCACTTCACAGGATCAATGTGATTTTGTTGATCGACGGGTCATGAGAGAAGCAATGCTACGAAGTTCAACGGATCACGAGGACCAGTAACTTGTCTGAAAAAGCAAGAGGAGCCGTTCCCCTACGGGTAAAAATCCCCATTGGTGGGACAAGCCAATGTAACCGAAGACACCATTTTTCACAGGCAGCTGCACATTTTTATAGGAGCACAGAATAGCTCAAAAACTTCCAGGGCGTTCAAGTTAGGCTGAAACCTCTCCTCCCGGGGGTTCTGCACACTGCAAATTAAAAAATGCACCGGCTATCATCGAGGACCTAAAAGATTTCTCTCGATGGGAATGAACGAATGGAACTGCCGAGAGAGAAAAATACAAAGGATTGAAGTCTGCATGCCATGTTTATCTACTTCAGGCTTGACCACGAGCCAAGTCTAAAAACTATTTGCTCTAGCAGGCCACAAGCATGACAACAGGAAGCTGACAGAAGCCAGTTCACATCATTCACCCAGTGAAGAGGAGGAGAAAAATGCTGACAGTTTCCTTCAATGAGTTCCCACTCCCTTGGTTTCTAAGGCCAACTAATTCCGGCATGCAATGAAGAAACTAGGATCTGGAACACTCCCAGGCTATCCAGGTAGAGCAGTGTTTCTCCAGCTTGGCCACTTGACGATGGGTGGACTTCAACACCCAGAATTCATGCTGGCTGGGGAATTCTGGGTGTTGACGTCCACCCATCTTCAAGTAGCCTAGTTGGAGAAACACTGAACTAGAGGCTGGAAGACACACTGTTCATGTCAAATTAACTGAAGATCAGGAACATGAAAAAAAAATGATGCAATTCTGTAGGCACAAGTAGAATTAAACATTTGCTGTATTGCACTAGCCAGGACTGGGGCAAAGAGGTCATAACATGAGAGACCGAAAGCTTGTCCTGTTGGCCTAGCAATCTGTATTCAGCAACCCCATTGGATTCTGCCCCTGTATTTTCAAAGGTTTCTTAAGGCAGGATTAGGCATTTTAGTAAGCCACCAGCCGGTTCCTTTTCAGAAAACTCTATAAATCCAATTGAACCCTTTGTATATATCCTTTAGATGTATTACTTTGATTAAGCATGTATAATTCCAACTTTAGCCAAGAAGGAACAAGATTGATAGCTTTCCTTATGTTATTTTAACAATATTAAATTATTAATGCTTAGATGCTAGACCAGTGTTTCTCAACCTTGGCAGCTTGAAGATGTGTGGACTTCAACTCCCAGAATTCCCCAGCCAGCCAGGAATTCTTCAAGCTGTCAAGGTTGAGAAACACTGTGCCACACTGTTCATCAGTTTCCAGTCAACATGTGGTTGGTCCAAATTCAAAGCCAACCTCTTTTTGCAAAGTGCAAAGCTTTAGAAAGCCTTTGTGCAATCAAAATTCCAGCAGACGTACTTGATTGACAGGGGCTAATGGCCTGGATCCCGGATTGCCGACACGGACAAAAGCCCTCATTGGGCGGATAGACTGTTCCATTGGCAAACAGGGTCTTTGGAAATGTGTAGCGATAAACCGGTATGCCTTTGAATGTTCCAGAACCAGTATAGTTCAGTTTAATGGACCTGAAAAAGGGAGATTAAGAGGGAGGTCAAATGAGGCAGAGGTTCCTTGAAAGACCAGCGTCCCAATGGATTGTGAATGAAGAAGTTCTAGAACAGTGAAGCTGTTCTGGACGCTGACGTTGTAGAACAGAGATGGAAACCTTGGGTGGCCAGATGCTGGCCTTAAAACTGGGAGGGTAAGGGGTTGGAGGGTCCACATGGAGCGACTGACAGTTGGATAGTTGGCCATTCATCCATTGCATTGAAAATATATTTGAAAAGTTGCATCGGTTGGGCCGAATTCTAGCGTAGAACGACGTCTTGTAGAGGCAAGGATTTTGTAAGCAAGTCACCTGCAGGCATCTGGCGAATAGAGTTCCACAGGCGAAGAGGGAGTCATGAATGGTGGCCACATTTCTCCGGAGGTTCCATTAATCATGTTACATTGCTCCGAATGCCAGTATGGTAACTGTAGGAGAGATGGCATCTTAACATCCAGAAGCCAGGCTGGTGTAACAACCCATTTCCTCCTCTAAAGCTAAGAACCATAGCCTAAAACAGCTTCTCCGATACGTTCCATTACAAACTCACCCTGCCATTAAGCTATCCTTTCCCATGCTATTTTTTTTCCTCTGTATCAGATTGGCCACCAAGCAAAAATTAAATCAAGAAATCCCACCAGGAAGATGGTGGACCATGAGGAAGAATGAGTTCTCCAGCAGAAGATTCTCCATAGCAGCAGTACCTTGAACAAAACGTGTTGCCCTGAACAAATCTGGTTGGAGACAGTTATGAAAACGAAACTCTTGAGGACAACATGCCTCCAAAATCAAGACTACCTAAACAGAGGACGGACCTCTTTTATATAAGACCATTTATGGTCTGCTGCTGATGTGAATGTGAAGATGTTACTTGTTCAACCTTGGGTCTTCAGAGATTGTTGGACTACATGCCACATCTTCTTCGGACAAAAAAGCCTAGAATCAGGGTGATGGGAGCTGTAGTCCAATAACATCTAAGGTTCCAGGAGTAAGCATATTTGTTGCTTATTTAATGGTGAGGACACTGTTTCAATCATTTGGAAAATGCATTCACTTTTGCAGATTTTATGCGGAGACTCACCTCTTCTGTAAGACTTGTTCCAGAGGCTAATTCATCCTGACACAGTGAAAGGAAAACACTAGCTGCCTGTTATCAAAACAAGCGAAAGATGGAAATAGGGCCCCCTACCTAAAAGATTATTCTAGCTCACTGCATTGCTTGGGTGGGAAAAAGCAGCACAAGAATTTGACCCTTGATTTTCTTATAAATAGGGCTCGCGTTTGATACACAGCAGTCACTGGAATTCTTTCCATATGGCTTTTTAGCTTTTCTACATTTAAAAAAACCCCGATTATTAGAAGTCCTTACTGAAAAGAGCGATTCGTTTTGTTTTTACCTTTTTTAATCCATTCCAAGTATCCACCATATAGGCTTTGGAAATATCGTCCATGCCCGTATTCACAGTAAAGAGACCCGAGTGGGAATTGTTTAACTGTAACGGAGAAGAACAGATTACACACTCTTAGCAATATATGGGGCTCCCTGTTAACTCATTTGTCAGAGAGGGGAGTAGATGAAAGAAAAGGCTTCCATCTTAACAAGGTAGGTCACAGCCCCAAGGCAGAGAGGTAAATGCCTATGTATCTTTTTGCTTTTTGGCCCAACAGCAAAAGACATTTCAGGGAAGCATTCCTGCTGGAGTTTTTAACTAAAGCCAGTTCCAACCTTGGGACTCTAGAAGTGGACTGTAACTTCTATCCTCCTTGATCTCTGGTTAGCCTTGGGTCTCTATGTTCAGGGAATGATAGCTGCCATTCTTCCTGACCACCGGTTATACTGGTTGGGAGGAGTGTTGGGGAACTGCTAACATTCCCTGGTTAGGACAGAAATCCTAGCAGGATGCCCAAAACCGGTTTCACCTCTGCAGCACCTCCTGCATGTTAATTTTGAAGGTGACCACGGTGCAATGTGTAAGATCCGTGGAATGTCCACCACTCAAAAATCATGTGCATCCCTCAACTTGGCTAAAAAACGGTGGTAAAAGGCAGTTTCTGGTTTCTTCCTCCACTAAATATGATAGATGTGGCTTTCTCCTGGGAAGTCTCTGTTCTTTGGGATTTCCACCCACTTTGTCCCAAAGATGACCAGGGCTGAACCGATGTCCCTCCCCCAAGGATCTGACTTACATCAACAAATAAGCCAAATTTTTGTTTGTACGGAACGAAGGTGAGTCCAAGGCTGTTCAAGAACTGGGTGAAGGGTTCGTCATATCCCCATATGAGCTCCTTGACAGTTCGGTTTATGAACGTCCTTTCTTTGAAGAAAGATAGAGTGGTACTGAAGGTTAGCTTCACGGGAAACGGCATGTCTTCCAACATTACAGCTGCTCCCTTGAAAAAGGAAAAAAAAAACAGAATAAAAAGATCATTGAGGCAAACAGAAATAATAGTTTCCTATATTTTAGAAACCAGTCAACTATTATAACGTGTAGATGCCTTTCCTAACTGCTATTCAGTTTGCGCTCCAGCGAAGAGAAGCCATTGAACTGGTTGAGCCCACCATTGTGGGAGTGTGTCCGAGTCATCTGTGGCGAACTCCCTAAACCACGTTTAAACAAAATCATGGCTTAGCATGACGTGTCAATGCCTAAGACTCACATCTTATCGACATCCAGTTTTGAGAGTTGGGGGACCGTCAGAAATAACATGGAAATCCCCTTGTATAAATAACATTTCTCTTTCAGATAAATAACTCCATATCTTCCATTTGGCCTTTAAAGAAAATGGCGGTTGTGAAGCATGCCGTCAACAATCCGTGTTTATTGCTAAATATGCGAGGGTTGACCTTGGACCTTTGGCATTGACACAAATTCTGGTAACTGTCAGTAAGCAATGAATCAGTTCCCTGAATTTCATGCTGGTGATAATGACTACAACAGTGTTTCTCAACCTTGGCGACTTTAAGATGTGCGGACTTCAACTCCCAGGATTCCCC